TTTTATCTAATGATTATCCATGTGTGACTTGGTCGCAGGCAAGTTAGTCATTAGACCTTTGGTTATAAAGGTCAATATTGAATCTCCAACTTTTTTGGAAATGATTCATGGAGATGTGGGCAAATACACCCACCATTTTGACCATTTCGTTATTTTATGGTATTAATTGATTGTTCTACTAGATGGTCACATGTTTGCCTACTTTCTACTAGAAATGTAGTATTTGCTAGACTACTTGCCCAAATCATAAAATTACGTGCGCAATTTCCCGATTACTCAATCAAGACTATTCGTCTTAACAATGCTGTTGAATTTAGATTACAAGCATTCGATGATTATTGCATGTCAATTGGGATTGTTGTTGAACATTCAATCGCGCATGTGCATACACAAAATGATTTGGCGGAGTCATTTATTAAACGTCTACAACTTATTGCTAGACCATTAATTATGAAAACAAAACTCCTAGCTTCTATTTGGGGTCATGCCATATTGCATGCTGTGTCATTATTTCGTATCAGACCAAATGCATATTATCAATATTCACCTTTGCAACTAGAATTTGGTCATGAATCTAATATTTCTCACCAACGGATTTTTAGTTGTGTTATTCAAGTCCCTATTTAACCCCCACAACTGACTAAAATGGGTCTCCAACAAAGATTTGGAATTTATGTGGGTTTTGATTCACCATCTATTATTATATATCTCGAACCTTTAACAAGCGATTTATTTAGTGCATGTTTTGCAGATTGTCATTTTCATGAAATGACTTTCCCAATTTCGGGAGGGGAAAAATTACATCCTGATAACTAAGGTAAAAATTCTTGGAATGAAACAACTCTATCTCATTTTGATTCCCGCAGCAATCAATGTAAGCAAGAGGTTGAAAAAATCATTCATTTGCAAAGAGTTGCGAATCAATTACCACATGCATTTGTTGACACAAGAAAAGTAACAGAGTCATATATATTAGCAGAAAATATTCTTGCAAAAATTGATGTCGTTGCACAACAATTTGCTGTAGCAAATGAATCTCAAATACGCCAAAAGCGTGATCGACTAGTTGGTTCAAAAGAGTCTGTACCTCGAAAAAGAAAATTAAAAGAGAAAAACCAACCAAAAACTTCAGAAAAAGTAACATTAGAGAAAATTGATTAATTAAATATTGAAAATATGGATCCTGAAAAATCACAAATGCTCGTAAATAATGTGATTTCAATAAATTATATGTTATGTCATAAATTATGGGAGTGAAATAATGTTGTTATAGACAATATTTTCGTCTTTAATGTGGCTCTGATATTATGCCACAAAACGTGATTAATTATTGATATAAATGCTTGAATATCGCTAAATTCGGTATAAATTGTGTTTGTAGGATTATATTGATGGATGGAATGAAATGTATGCAAAAACGAGCAAAAAAGGACCAAAATGGAGGAAAATGAAAGTTCAAGGACCCAATTGCAAATATTGAAAAGTTGTGTCGATCCCACGATGAAGATTTGAGAGTGTT